ATGTGGTGCTGGGGGATCGAACCGCGGTCCCTGATGCTTTGCTAAGCTTGTTCTAAGTAGGTGCTTTAGACCACTGAGCCATCTCTCCAGCCCCAATAAAGCTTTAATTGAAAGGAGAAAATAATGACCAAGAAATAAAATAAGCCAGGAAACACACACTGGAAAATGCACTTACTGGGGGAACGCAGCCCAGCCTGAAGTACACGGCACGACCAAGTGCCTTTTCTTTCCCAAATGTACTCCCTCCTCAACTCCTACCTGCTTGGAACCACAGTAATGACAGGAGATGCCACAAGAAATGGTTTTTTCTTGTTGTTAAGAATCCTGTGTGTGGAAGTGTGACACACCTGGGCTGCGCCCAGGCCTACACACCCCAGACAGATGCTCTACTGCTGAGCTGCACCCAGCACTGTTTTCACTTTGGTTGGGGCGGGGGTTGGGTTTTTCTTGTATTTTAGAGAAGGGTCTACAGGGTGCTCAGGGTCTCACTACTAGATCAGACTCGTGGTGATCCGCCTGTTTACAGCTTCCCGTGAACTGAGATTACAGGCGCGCACCACCGCGCCCAGTCTCAACTGCAGTCTCGCACAGCCCAGGGCGTGAGGCTGGCACGGCAGGCCCTGGGATGGAAACCCCAGCCCCGTGCCTGCCTGCCACAGGCACCGCAGTCTGCTGAGCTATTTGGCTGGCCCTTGCTCTCACTTTGCGCAACTGAGCAGGCAACCACAGCGCTCAGTTCACGGCCCTGCCAACGCTCGCGGGGGCTTCAGGAAGTACTCGGGTGTGGTGCTCGGCCCACGCTCGGGCGCACCAGAACGCGCGCGGCCTGGGGCTCGCACCCACCTCGCTGTTGCTGTAGCGCGCCAGTTCCGAGATGAAGCGCATGTGGTCCTCGCGGATCTGGATCATCTGCTCGCAGATGTTGTACTGGGGGCTGCTGCCTGAGGATGTGCAGGTCCACCTGGGGGAGGGGAGGCCGCGTCACGCCGCTGCAGCGGCACAGCGCCAGGGTCCCGGCAGGGCAGCCAAGGGCGTTGTGCGCGGCTCCAGGACTCAAGCATCTGTTTAAGTGGAACAGGAGACTACGCGACCAGGACCACCTGAGGCACGTAAGACCACAGTGCTGACAGGGGTGCTGTGTCTCAGCTCACCAGCTTCATCCTTGCCACGATTCCGATCACAGCGAACTAGAATCATGGAAGGAATCTGCAACCAGAACCACAAAAAGGCTTAAAGTCGCCAACCACGGTGCCACTCTACTCTGGCCTTTACAGAAGAGACCAGCTGGCCAAGATGCAACTTTGTCAAAGTTGTGGTTGAATGGTGACCACAGGTTAGCGGCAGGCGTCAGTCAAAGAAATGCAGAGACGCAATGGGCTACACGGATGCACGGTAAAGAGGGTGCGCCAGGCGTGGTGGCCACACCCGCAATCTGCGCACTCAGAGGCCGAGGCCAGAGGAGCACGGTGAGCTGAGGTCAGCCTGGGCTACATGGTGAGTGCAAGGCCAGCCAGGAATACACAGCGAGACCCTGTCTTAACGCCCCCAAGAAAGAGCACTACGCATTTACCATGCACCATCCGTAACAGTGAGCGACAGATCTTTGATGGCACAGGCTGGCCAGCTTTCTCTGTACCGTGCCAGAGTATAAACATTTTAGGACAGCAGGCTATTCTGTCCCTGTTGTACGGTCACCACGAACCGTCATCTTCTGATTTTTAAAGACATCCTTTGCAAAGTGCGAAGAGCACTCTCTAGTACCTTGGGCAAGGACATCTGGGCTGACCCGGTCCTCGGGCCACAGGCTGTGTGTGGCTCTGCGGTCTACAAAGCCGTCACTGTATCTCTCGCCGACACAAGCACCCTGCCCCTCTCTACAGCGCGCCGCAAGCATCGACAGCTCACCTCTGGGCCCAAGTGACCTCTGGTTCTCAACCACAAGGTCAGAGGGAATTTCTGGGGTGATGCAAACGCTCTAAGCGTGTGCCGTGCAGTATGGCAGCCTCTGATTGGCAAACATTTGAAATGTCACTGTTCTACCAGGAAAATTAAAAATGTAATTGTACTTCTCAATGAATGCGATCAGCCACATGTGACAAGGGCAGCGTACTGTCAGACCGCTAGGAGTGCCAGCAGTGTCACCTCAAGGGAGATCAGCAAGCTGTAGGACTGCAGGGAGGGCCCTGCGGAGAGCTCTTCCTACCGAGACTTATTCTCCTCGTAGTGGGCGCTGGTCTTGATGTATCTTGCCAGTTCTATCTGCATGTCCCCAAAGAGCGGAACCACCTGCAGCTGCTGTGGCCAAAGAACAAGGAGAGCCGGAATCATTGTTCAGTCATCAAATGCACAAGTGTGGCAAAAGCAACGGACGCTAGTAACTATCTTGGGCTGCACGCTACCTTTGCAAGTCATTTAGTACAAAACAATGTAATTAACTTCTATATTTTCACTTTGAAAAGAATAAAATACAGTTTAAGAACCAACACACACATAAACTATTCAAATGTGAGAATTAACCTTCCTCTTGTATTCATGTTCACTACAAAGTGGCTGCGTTCGCGTATCCCAGCCACGGCACAGCAGCACCCGGGGCAGGAGCCAAATCCTTTCCATGAGTTTGGTCGCAAACCAAACTGGACAAGAACTGAACCCAGCTTCCCCGCGAGGCCAACACCGGCCCCAACCGCTGGGTCGCACTCAGTTCTCACCCAATTTAGTGTGCACCCAGACTCGTGGTGGTCACTGAAGCACCACTGCAATTATAAAATGAAAGCGTACAGAGAAGCAGTTTGCAATAGCATCAAAAGGTAGAAATGTGCATGGATAAAGTGAACAAAGGTTGTGCAAGACTTCAAAACAAAATCCTGCCCCGGCTGGGTGTGGTGGTGCACACCTGCAATCCCAGCACTCCAGAGGCTGAGGCAGGAGGATCACTACAAGTTTGAGGCCAGTCTGGACTCCATAGTGAGTTCAAAGCTAGCCTGCGAGACCTTGTCTCAAAAATAAAATTCAAAAAAAAAAACAAAAAATACTGGCTGGCAAGATAGCTCAGCAGACTAAGCGCCTGCTTAGGCAAGTGCAGGGACCAGGGTTCAATCCCAAGCACCACATGCTGCGCCAGCCACACACCTGCAATCCCAGTGCTGGAGAGGCTCAAAACAGGAGGATCACTACGAGTCCAAGCTGCGTAGTGAGACCCTGTACCAAACACAAAAGATAAAATACTGCCCCAAATTCTAGAGAAAGCTCTCACTGAATAGAATAATATATGTTTCTGTGTCAAGTGGCTCAGAATTTTACTTTTTTTGTTATGGTGATGGGTTTCAGTGCAGGGTGACGACGTCAGCAGGACTATAAGTCCTGCAGACTTGAAGTTCACTAAGAGGGTGTCCTAAATGTTCTCAGGACAGAAATATGGTAAGCAGGAATACAGCTCTGGAGGGGGCGCCTGCCTAGCGTGCAAGACCCTGGACGCCAAAGGAGAAACGCAAATGGCTGAGCCACGCAGGGAGAGCATCGCGTGGGCACACAGAACCAAACAGTCTGGACATCAACAAGAAAAAGAAGAGTAAACAACGCAAAGAGGCACTTCACAAAAGGAACACACAAAGGCTAAGAACACGCACTGCAACCCGGGAGATTCCGGCAGCCAGCAGCCAGCCCTCAATGGCTCCGTGACAATGATGCAGCAGTCTCCAGGATGCCACCCCCAGACACAAGGCAGGGCCGGCAGAAAGGTCACTCGCCCAACAAGGCCTACAGTAAGGCTGCGACGACAAGCCAGGTGACCTCAGGTACCACTTCCCCCGCTCAGCATCTAACGCAAGAGGACTAAATCCCAGCAGGGGCTGCACTAGGCAAAACCTACACCACAAAACCCCAAAAGCACTGCTCCAGGCTCCTGCACGGACATGCTAACCCAACAGCTGGGGTGGAAGAAGCTGGGAGCACAAGTGGCACAGTTCCATCTCCATCCAGCTCAACACAGACAAGACTCCAGCAGAGGGGCAGGACACAGCGCCAGCAGCCACCATGCAGATGACAGGCCCAGCCCGGGCTCCCCCCCCCACATGCTTTCCCAACAGGGTCGACTGCCCTTGTCGGTTTCCACAAACCTTCAAGTTATTGTTAAAAAAAATAAAAAAGCAACTTACCTTGAAGTACTTGTCAATTTTGGATAAGTTTATTCTCTTCTTGGCATCCAATTTGTAGATGTTGCTGACGCTCCCATCCATTAGGTACAGTCCGAATCCCATGACCTGAAAGCCACAACACAGCCGTGAACGGTCCACTGACCACGCCTCACCCACGTGTACACACCCACCATAGTGCTAAGCTGCACTACCAACGCACCCCTCTGCAAGGCACTCCCCAGGCCTCGGGGAGGACTGTCCGTCCAGCTAAGTCCATCCCTCTCACGTGCCGTCTCCCAAGGCTGTCTCAGCCTCCTGCCAGGGCACCAACCCCAGCACCAACTCTTGCCCAGCAGCTGCAACTAAGAATTACGAGAGGGCTCCCAAATCCGCCACCAGCCCTAGCCGTTAGGGCTCACACCACACCTCCTCAAATCAGGTGCCAGGACAAAGCACTGCTCCTAGAGCACCGGGAACAAGGACGGGCAGACGTGCCACCAGGGCGAGCACTCTAGCCAGTGTGACGTCAGAGTCGCAGGGGCCCAGCTCCCCGCGAAAGTGGTGAGGGCCTAACTGCATGGTTTTTATAAAAGCTTGCTCTAACTTCATATCCCACATCCCCAAGCAGATCTTCAAAACTGTATCACAAAGCTGCACTTTAAGGCTGTTTGTCTGCTGCTCTGAATGTGAGTTTTCCCCTCACTGAAGTCACAGGGGCCGTGGCGGGCTTCCGGGCCAGGGTGCCAGCCTCTCCTGTGGGTCGCTGTCGTGCAGACCCGCCCCATTCGGACTCAGTTTCAATGTAGCCACACCTGCACTGCTCCTGGGGCCTGGCTGGGCCTCATGCACGACATGGTGCAGCTACCGCGCTCCCACCACCACGGAGCCCCCGAGGGAGGAGGCCTGAGGCCGGGGCGCAGGGCTGGGACCCCGCTAAGGGTCGCTGGGCTCTCACGAGCAGAGGTGCGGTGCGGAGACAGGGATGGGGAGCTGCCCTCTCTTCTGCGCAGCGTGAGAAATGCAGTTAAAATCCTCCCCGATCTGAAGCAAGATGTCGATAAGAACAGAGAATGTGCTGTGTCGCACAAAATTCTCAAATGCTCACAGAGGTTTTGGGAGGTGCCTGGGTCGTGGGGCATGCTATGAAGCACAGGCGCATTTGTCCACAGGCGTTCACAGCAGAAGGCGCAGCTGGGAGGCGGGGCCTGCTGGGAGGGGCGGGGCCTGCTGGGAGGGGTGGGGCCTGCTGGGAGGGGCGGGGCCTGCTGGGAGGGGCGGGGCCTGCTGGGAGGGGCGGGGTCTGCTGGGAGGGGCGGGGCCTGGAAGGGTCTGCGCTTCCTGCAGGCCCATACGTCTGTCACCAGAACCACTTCTCCGGGAGGCCACTCTGCCGGGCCGTCCTGCGTGGGGAAGCTGACCACAGGCTTAGCTGTGAGCCAAAGAAAACCTCTCCTGTGTGTCACGGGTATCAGGCACAGGGCCTCAGCAAGGAAGCGTGACAGCAGCAAGTCTACTGTTAACATAGTAACACACCTCCCCTTATTACTGCATTCTGCACCCTTGGATTCAATGGTCCACAGGCTGAAAACAGTCCAAAACAATGTTTGCATCCAGAATTAATATGAACAGAATGTTTCTGTTCACCATTCCCCCAGCAATACGACGTAATAAGTATGTATGTGGCAGGCTGACATATTAGCATTCTAAGTCACTTAGAGATGATTCAAAGCACACAGGAGGGGATCCGGAGATAGCTCAGAGGTCTAAGTGCCTGCCTCACAAGCGCAAGGACCCGCGTTTAATACCCTGAGTTCAATACTGGGGACTGCACGCCATGCCAGCCCTGTGCTGAGCCGGCCACTGAAACTGGTAACCCGGGTCCTTGCGCTTCCAGGCGGGCACTTAGACCGCCAAGCTGTCTCCTTAGCCCTCTGCAGCTTTACTTAAGGCACTTGAGCACTTGTATTGTTCCTTACCTCTGGGGCACCAATCTCCCAAGGAAATTGGGGGGCAACTGATTGAATGATTTCCAAAAGTCTTATCTTTTAACAAGTGGAGCCTTATACAAGCTCTGCTGAAAGTAGCTCAATGCTTCGAAAGTCCTGCCCACGCCTCCTGGGCACCAGCTCGTCCCGGGTGGGGCACAACATGGGCGTCTGGCTGTGCTCAGCAGGGACGGGGCTCCCGTGACAGCACAGAAGGGTGTGAACACTGGGTCTGCCCCCACGCACGTACTTTGAGCAGCATGTGCTTCTCACTGGGTGTCAGGTACATCCTGTTCTCGTAGCAGTCCACACACAGGTTCACGATGTCTGCCAGGAGCTCTTCGTAGCCAGAAATGACTTCGAGCTGCTGCTGTAGAGACTGCGAGACAGAGCGCACCGGTGCTGCCGCCGCCCCCGCCCCTGCCCCAGGGTCCCTGCCCACCTGGGATGAGCCTCACCTGCGTGATCTTGTTGTGGTTGGCCAGGAACATAGACAGATTCTGTGACTCCTGAATGGACTGGGGGTCTGCCATTTTACGGAGAAACTGAGCAGCCCTTGAAGTGAAAAAGGTTAATGCCAGGAGGACAATAGCACCAACGTGCTAGTAAATTATAAGAAAGAAAGAAAGAATGAATCCTGGGCAGAACAGGAACCCCCAAGGCCATTCATCCCCGAAAGGTGGATCACCCACAGCAGCCAGTGAGGTGCTCAGGCCCGAGGGGCTCCAGCCCCCAGCCGAGGGAAGCTCGTTCCCACCGGGGGCACTCATTCCCCTCAACGGGCCCAGGCTGACCGCCTGTCCCTCCCATGCCTGCCCACAAGCCCTCCATGGCTCTCTGCAGAGTGCCCCAGCTGTCACCCCTTCACAAGGAGCACCATCCTCGGCCACACCTCGGGGGCCCGGGGCCCAGACTGTCCAGCTGAGGCCCTGCGCTGCCTCCACAGCAGCTCAGCGTGGTGTGTGGGGCAGGACCGCAGCGAGCACAGCGCGCCGGCAGAGCCAGGCTCTGTGCAGTCTGCAGAGTGGGGGGAGGCGGGTGTGCCACCTGCGCACCAGTCTGCACCCCTACAAGGCTCAGGGTTCAACTAATGAAAAGTACCACGACAAAGACTAGCAACACACCCTAAGTTCACGCGTTCCCCTTGCCTGACACGCCCGAGGTGGCAGCATGTGCCTCACCTCCCTCGAGGTCAGCTGCGGCTGGTAACCCCGGGCTAACCCGAGCGATGGGATCGCCAGCAGCTGAAGGGCACTCAGAAGTTCGCTTTCAGGTAGAGTACAGCCCTCCTTTCCTCCTTCCTGCTCACTGGAATGCGGAAATGACAGCTTGAGCTCAAACAGTCATTTTGGAGCACGAGGCAACACATGAAGATGACAGAGCGGGCACCCGGAGCCATAGACATCCACACAGCTTGCCACTCGGCAGCAGACCACCTGACTCGAGGAAGAGGCAAAAACTGCGACCTCGGTTAAGTTACTACCTCCGTGGGTTCAAAAAAGGGTGCACAGGCAAAGCCAGTATTAGTTGATTCAAAAATAGCCCCTGCCTTGTTCCACAGGTCCCCCTCACGGACCTGAACCCTGGCCGAGGAAGCTGGGGCAGACACTCCTCCTGTCTGTCCTACTCAGGCCTCGCCACAACCACGTGGATGGCTGTCCCAGCAGCTATGCTCAGGGGCGGCTGTGTCGGCCGCAGCTATGCTCAGGGGCGGCTGTGTCGGCCACTCCCAACTGCAGAAAGGCACAGAGCCCTGCACACGCTGCCGATGGCTGCCGTGTAGGAGGGGGCACAGGGAGCCGGCCTGCGAAGGGGCCAAGCAGCCCTGGCGCCCCTCTGTGCTCTGAGGGGGGTGCTCCTCCACCCCGCGGCACCCTCCTCAGGCTGTTTATAGACTAATCTTGGGGACAAGAGGCTTCTGCTCTGCTGAGAGGAAATGTGTGAGGTGGAGAACAACTGCCCACCCACAGAGTCTTTAAAAAGGCTGAGAAGGCTGCTCAAAGCCACAGTGGGTCACCTGCCTGCTGGGCGTAGGCGCTGGGCCTGGAGCTGGGCTGAGCCGGGCCCTGCCCCTGCCGGGCGGCGGCGACCCCCCACCTCTGGCTTCGAACTGCTGATCACAAAGCAGAGACAACTGCAGTCTTTCCTGTCAGTCAGCCCTGAGACTGCGCGGATGCACCCCCGCTGGCGCATGCTGCTCAGGCAGAGAACAATCCCTGTGCTGAGTCTTACTGCATGGACCGCGCTGCCCTCCCCTGCACGCTCCTCCTCATCTCAGGCTGGCGCAAAGCCCAGGTCAGTGTGGTTAAAAAGACAAGGGGTGCGTGACTCCTGATACTATGCAAATAAAAGCACATTTGGATGCAAAGTAAAAGTCTCTTCCAATTAAATTTTAGAGCAGAGACACCTTCCTCGGCAGAGGGAACAGGTCAACATCACCTTCCTGCTCACTGGCTCTGAGCACACTCAGTAGAAAAAATGCAGAGAAAGATGCCCAGCTGGTCACCTGCTGAGCACGGGCTTCGGGGCACCCACAGCGCCCCAGCTGTGCACTGTTGTGCTTGTCCAGGTTCCCAGGGCAGCGGCACTGGGAGCTGAAGGCCCAAGCCAACGAGGTGTCTCCGGGGACCCCAGGCAGATCTCCAGAGAGGACTGTCGTGAACGCCTAAATGCCTGAACCTGAGGAGCCCTCTCTGGCCTCTCACTCCATAGTGTGATTTTCACCCCCAAGTCTGCACCACTCTACTGGGGGAGGGGGTACAGCAGAGGGGGGCTGGCAAGAACTTCCCCGGTGATGGACTAAGCCTCTGTTCTCACCAGATGAGGCTCCCCAAGCATCTCCCTATAGGACTGAAGAGCTCGGCCTGCTGGCTGCTCTTCCAGACGTCCTAAACCTTCGAAAAGGAAGTGCCACAAAGCGGAGCTGCTAAAGGGCCTGGAAGCTGCGGTGACTCAGGGCACACAGGAGAGACCAAGTCACGTCCACATGCTGTGGCTAATGGCACACGTGCCAGAGACACCATCCCACAAGTGACAAGCACAGTGGGCAGGGTCTGCTCCGAGGGCTGCAGCTCTCACGCGGTGGTCCTGGGCGGCAGAACTCACCTGCATCCTAGCCAAACAGCTCCCTGGGCCAGCGCCTCTGCTCACAGCAGGGACCGCGGTCTCCTGCATCATCCCAGGGCTCGGAGCGCCCGAAGGGCTCCACAGACACTGAAGTGGACCTCAGTGCCAGGGCCCTCCCTTGCTCGCTGTACAAAACCACCAGCCCAGCCCACCAGCTGCCCTTGCACCCCCACCGCACTTGGGGTGCACGTTCACTCGAGCCGATCAGAAGGCAGCTGGGCCCCACAGTGGGGGACCCCGTGCTCAAGCTCACCTCTTGTACGCGGAGTGGTCGTTCTTCACGCTGCACTTCATGTTCTTCAGCTCGTCCAACACGGCGAACATGTTGATGAACTTGCCCAGTGTGATTAGGTAGGCTTCGGACACAAAGTCCTTCCTCCTCTCAGCGTGGCACAGGCGCCGCACTTCGCCGCAGAAGCGCTCAATGGCGTTCCTCTGAGCAGGAGAGCCCGGCGTGAGGGGCGTGGTGACTCGCCTGGCCACACCGCGACCCTACTCCCCTACTCCCGCCGCTCCGACGCCCCACAGCGGCTCCCTCCCACCTTCCCACCGGCGGGCAGAGGAGCCTCACTAACGCAGCAACCCCTGCCTGTGCATTCCCTCATGTCCCCACGTAAGAGAATGCTTGCTGGCCATCATGGGGAAGGCACCCAGCGCTGCACTGAACCCTCGACCGCGGGGGCGCGGCCAGCTTTTAGGACAGAAGATGTCAGTGTGAGAGTTGTTTTTCTAAACTCAGACCTCAGATTCAGGCTTAACTGCAGGGTTGGCGCCCCGTGACAAATACGCAGGTTTGGGGCTGCATCCTGGGCGCTCGGCCCTGAAAGGCGCCCATCACAGATCCGTAGAATAGATACTGTGACTTTCAGAGGCAAAAAACGGAGATTTTTTTCTTCTTGGCAACTCTTACTACGGAACGTCTTCCCCTTATGGCACTTGCGGCCTGATCAAAGGGTCAGGAGGACAAGGGCAGCGCAGGCACACCAGGAACGATCAGGGTGCGGCTGAGAAAAGCAAAGGCCCAGGAACCAGGGACTCAAAGCCCAAGCTGGGAGAAAGTCGGAGCGCTGCGCGTCCACTACGCGGCGAGCTTCCGCAGGAGCTGAGCGCACTCAGAGGGCGAAGGGAAGCGGACACTGCGCCGCAGGCTGCGGCCGCGGCCCTGAGACTGCTCCGCCTGCTGTGTGCGACTGGCACGCACTCAACAGGGTACCACTAAGGCTGGTTTGCTGTTTTACCTGAAAGTACATAAAATTCATCAGTTTCGTGACCTCTGGCTCGAGGACTTCCACTGTCTTCTCATAAATCTCCACTCTGTTGGGCTGCTCATTGCATTTCACCTGTGATGAAGAAACAACCGTGAAGAGGCCGAAGTGGGGGGAAGTGAGGGGAGGGGGGAGTGCGGGGAGGACGGGGCGGGGCCTCACCGAGGGGTGGGGAGTGGGGCGGGGCCTCAATGAGGGTGGGGGCGGGGCCTCGATGAGGCGTGGGGAGTGGGGGCGGGGCCTCGATGAGGCGTGGGGAGTGGGGGCGGGGCCTCGATGAGGCGTGGGGAGTGGGGGCGGGGCCTCGATGAGGGGTGGGGAGTGGGCGGGGCCTCGCCGAGGGGTGGGGCAGGCACCTGTGGGATGGCCCGCGAGCAGCTCCTCCAGGTGTACAGCATGACGGCGTACTCTTGGCCTTCCTCCAGCATCTCATTCTGCAAAGCACACAGAGCAGTCAAGGGAAGGAAGGGGACGAATCACCAAAACACCAAAAGGAGGCACCAAGTCGCTGAATGTGAACAAAACGCCACAGACTACTGTGACTGCCCCTCGCGACTTAAAGCCACCAAGCCAAAGGACACCTGCTAGGAAGCCGGAGATGAGGTGCGGAGGGGGAACAACTGCCACACACACCCATGGCCCCTGTGGACCGAGACAGGCGACAGAATGGGCGCGCTGGGCCCCCGGGCGCTGAACGCAGCTGCAGAGCTGAGGCTGCCATGTATGGTACCGGTACCGGCACCGGCACTATGTTTCCGGTCCTACGGGCCTCCGGGCTCAGAGCTCCAGGAGTGCTGGCGAGATCGGTCCCAGAGATACAAGCACAGGGACAGTAACCCGGGGCTGGATCACCACCGATCTTACAACCTTCCCACAGGCCTTATTCCTTGCTTCATAGTGTTTCCTCTGAAAACAACGGTTTAAAAATCACACTGATGTTCTCCACAATGCCAGCTGCCTCTGGCAGTGCTGCTAAGCCGCTTTAAAGCAATCAGCCTCTGACCTGTGACTTCACGTGTGTTGGAAGATGGCAATCGATCATTACAAAAAAGCAGAAACTAAGAGTGCAAGAAAAGCTGAATCGCAAACACTAACACAGTGGACCATAGCGCCACTGAAGGTTACTCTCTCTAGCACACATTTTCATGAAATCATTAAATATGTAATTATAATAACAACCTGCTCATCAGAAGCCTCCCTCTAGGCGCACACCTTGGGTGCAGAAGTAACCAGCACCTTCGGAACCTGGACCTGTTTTCTCTGGGCCAAAACCAGAGTACTCAGTCTTCAGAAAAAACACAGTCCCTTTTTCAGTAGGAGAACTGAAGGCAGTTACATGGAGAAGCGTGCAATTTGCTGTTCACTGGCCAGTCAGCTGTGCCCACCCCACCGCGTACCCGGGCAGCCTTACCATGCTGGAGTGGACGGTCGCCTGCTCAATGTACCGTGCGATGCCAGTGACAAATGCATTTCTGTCTTCAAAGTTAGTGTTGAAGTTCGGCTGAATGGAAGAGAAAGGCCGCCACTGTGAGGTCAGGGCCCAGCCACCCCCGCCCGGAGGCCCAGAGGCCCTGGTGCCCTGGCACCCACCTGGTAGAGCAGCGAGGACGGCGGGGGCTCGATGCAGGGCTGCTGGTCAGGCAGAGGCAGCTCCTCCAGGAGGTCCACGTTGGACAGTGCGTCCTCCAGCGTCACCTGGGCCGCCATGCTGGCACAGGATGAACACACAGCGCCCTGTTCTGAGGAAGCCAGACAGCTCTGCTGAGGGGGCCCTGGACTTCTGGCCCCTTTCACTTCTCCCTAGGGCCTGGCGTGTGACCCATACAGTCACGGCCCCTCGATGGCTAAGGTCATAGCCAGGAGACAGGGAAAGTGAAACAGGCAGGGCACAGGTCCTGAACGGTAGTTTAAAGTAAACTAAAGTCAGGCCCACATGAGTTAGCACACCAAAGCAGACCATCAAGGCCTAAAGACTGGCAAGTGCACAGAACAAACAGGTTTCTAAGCAGATAGGGACCTTGGCAGAGGTAAAATGCAAATGAAACAGTCACTCTGCTCCAGCAACCAGCAAGATTCCTGCCTGACTTCCACCTTACAGAACACCCCTGTCTGCCCTACAGAGAGCCTTTCTTTTATTCCTTCTGATAAATATGCACTTGGTCATTTCTCAGCACTTGCTGCTTGCTGTTTTGTCGTCTTCAATCTTCCTTGCCCTAAAACAAGGACCCAAGAGCTGGAGGACCCAGTTACAAGGTACCTCTAAGGGAGCATTCAGGCCAGCAGGTGTCACACACAGCACAGGAGGCACAGGCTGCACCTGTGCCAACACTTGCTGCCATCTGCCCTTATCTACGCTGCGCACAGCCGCTGGCGCCAGGCTCAGGAGGGTCTGACAACCGCCTCACACACTCATACACACATACATACACACACCAGCACCTCCAATCGTGCTGGGAACTGGGCAGGAAAACATGAGGGCTTTGCCCAGCCAACAGCCGAGAAGCCACCATGTGGGCTGGGAGGATGGGCGTTGGGGCGGCCCATGGGGACCCGGGCAGGTGCTGTCTACTGCACAGGCTCGGTGGGTGGAGCCAGCACTCCACTGCCACTCACTGCACCTGCGCTGACCCAGCTGCAGACTGGAGGGGCAGGCATGGGAGACAGTCCAGCCCGGGCTGCACGCCAGGTGGCTAGGCAGGTCCTGGGAAGGGGAGCAGCGAGGGGATGGAGGAAGCCCCAGTCACATGGGGGCCCAGGGCTGGCTTGGTCATGAGCCTCGGGCTGCTGGCCAGGAGCTAGGCAGGGAAGCTGAGGAACCAGGAAAGTCCCCAGGGCTGTGCAAAGGGCAACTTCCAGCCTGTGCACACCTGTGATCCAACCTCACCTGAGGCACGCCCAGGGTGGGGATGGCCGCAGCGGCCCGCGGACAGATGCAACTAGTGCTTCAGCAGCTCTGCAAACAGCACTGACGGGAGCCACATGTGCAGGAGGAGGGCTGCGCTTCACCACACTGCATGTACACCTGTTGCAGTAAAACACCAGCATTCCCCTCTCCTCAGGGTGGACCCAGGGCCGCCCATCAGCGTCCCAGAGGTCCTGCTGCAACCCAGTTACCCTCACCCAATGGTCCAGGAATGTTCTGCTCCTCCAGGAAAGCCATCCGCTCACCCGTGCCCACACGACAACAACAGTGCAGATGCTGCAATTATCTCTGCGACGATAAGGCAGCTGCCCAAAACATCCTATAAATAACTATAACACTTCCCAGGCAAAGAAAAAGCTCAAAATCAGCAAAACACAAATAAAATCCCAAGAAGAGCCAAATGTAAATTTTAGAACTGAAGATACATGAGAAAAAACTGAAACACCTACATGAGCTCAAGAGCAACTGAGTCATCGAATCTGAAGCTACAGCAGTAACAGTGATCGAATGTGAATACCAAAGAGAAAAAAGGAGTGACAACAAAGCCACAGAGAGCCTCAGGGACCTCTGGGGCAGGCGCGAAGGCCAGCGCTAAAGAGAAATGCCCCAGAACCCGACTGGGATAGAAGCAGCGTTCCTAATCCTAAATAAAATGAACCCACGCTCGCTTTGGCAGCACGTACACCAAAAAATACATCCCAGGAGGGCTGGGGAGAAGCTCAGGGGCATAAGCACCTGCCTGGCAAGCACAAACAAGGTCCAGGAGTTTGATCCCCAGTACCACAAAACAGCACAAGCCAGGGAGACCCGGTTGGAATGGCTGAATGGCTGGATTTCCCCAGGCAGCAGGCAGCTGGGAGGGAACCCGAGCTTCTCGTCCCTCCAGGAAGGTGACTGCAGGCCTTCTCGTGAAAGCGGGTAAAACCCGAGGTGGAGGCAGGCTGAGGGCAGTTCTTGAACGCAGCTCCACAAAGGGAAGTAAAACTGCAACACTGCTGATGGGTGTCCAGTCCATAAAAATCCTAAACTATATAAATACAGTTTTTTTTTTAATATTTTATTTATTTATGTGTGTGTGTGTGTGTGTGTGTGTGTGTGTGTGTAGCCAGCTCAGCCCACCAGGAGGCAGGGCTGGCTGGCATGTGGTGCTGGGGGATTGAACCGCCGTCCCTGTGTTTTGCTGAGCTTGTTCTAAGTAGGTGCTTTAGACCACTGAGCCATCTCACCAGCCCCACAAATACAGTATAAATAAATATATATAATTAAACCATATAAACCTAAGACACAAAAGAGGTAAACTTTTTTTTTTTTTTTTGCGGAACCGGGGATTGAACTCAGATCCTTGCATTTGCCAGTCAAGTGCTTATCCTACTAAGCCATCTCCCCGGCCCCTAGGCAAACTTTTATGGTGGTAAGATTTCTACCTTCACACTGGAGATGTAGCTCAGTGGCACAGTGCCTGCCTGGCAAGTACAAGGTCCTGAGTTCAATTCCCAGTACCAGGAAAAAAAAAAAAAAGATTTCTATCTTGTGTACAAGTACTGAAATTGCGCTTCTCACTAGACTGTGAAAAACTAATAAGCATATTTTGTAATCCTCAAAGCAGCTACAAAGAAAGCTATATGAAGCAAAATACATTGAGGGGGTTTTTTTTGGTACCAGACATAGAACTCAAGACCTTGCATTTGCCAGGCAGGCGCTTATGCCACTGAGCTATATCCCCGGCCCTCATTGTTTTAAATAGATGATTTGGAAAAACTTAAAATGGGATACTGTGAAATGGTGGCGAGGGGCCAGGTGCGGCTCGGGAAGTTCATGCACAGCTGGAGTCCCAAAAAGCAGGAGAGGAAGCAGTAACAAAGAGAAATCAGGTAACACAGACCTAAACCCAGGCCTGTCAACAATGACGTTAATTATAATCTAAAAGTACCAATCGGGGCTGGTGAGATGGCTCAGTGGTCTAAGGTACCTACTTAGAACAAGCTTGGCAAAGCACAGGGACGGCGGTTCAATCCCCCAGCACCACATGCCAGCCAGCCCCGCCCCCTGGTGGGCTGAGATGGCCACACACACACACACACACACACACAAATAAAAATAAAAAAATAAAAGTACTAATCAAAAGACAATTACAATGGTTAAAAAAAAAAAAAAAAATCCCAAGCCTCCCAGGTGTGGCGGCACACACCCAAATCTCAGCTCCTCTAAGGCTGCAGCAGGACCGAAGTTCACAGTTAGCCTAGGCAGCGTTGCAAGGCCCTGTCTCAAAATCAAATATAGCAAGGACTGGCGGTATAGCTCAGTGGTAGAAATCTCATGGGGCAAGCTCAGGTATGACATACACACAGCAGTCCTGGACACCCAGAGTGGCTCGCTGTCCTGTACAGCTGACCTGGGAAGCCCCAGCTCCCACACAGGAGCCTCAAAGCTGCGGATGCCCCTGGGGCACAGGACAGGGGCAGGCCCAGCCCTACAAGGCACTGCACAGCCAGCTCTGAACCCCACTGCTGCCTCCCACCAAGAAACAAGTGCAGGGCGTGGCGGCACACACCTGTAATCCCAGCACGCAGGAGGCTGAGGCAGGATGCCTGTGAGTTCAAGGCCAACAAGCTTGAGGCCAAAGCGGGCTACAAAGTGAGCTCATGGCAGCCTGAGCTGCAGAGTGAGACCCTGTCTCAAAAGGGCGAGAGAAACAGAGAGAGAGAACCACCCAGCCCACACTCTGGGAGTTACTCAGCGCCATCAGACCTCCGTCTTCCCTTTGCCTGGCCAGGAGAATCCTACACAACCCACACAGGAGAAGGAGAAAGAGGGTGTGGTAGGGAAAACTGCGAACTTAAGAGTGTGATTCACAGGAGTGACACACTCAGGTCACACCCAAAGGAAACCCCAAGAGCTCAACTTACTCCAAACCACTATTTATGGATTTCTTGCCTTAAGAACAGCAACACTGCCAGGCGTGGTAATGCACGCCTGTAACCCCAGCACTCGGGAGGCTGGGGCTGAGGACTGCCTGAACTACACAGTGAGACCCTGTCTCAAGAAACTAAACAAAATGAAAATTTTAAAAATAAATGACAGCAATAGTTATATGGTCATACAAACCACGGACTTCTATTCAGCCTTTAAAAAGGAAAGAAATCTGCCGGGGATATGGCTCAGCAGCCTAAGCACCCGCCTAGCAAATGCAAACTCCCAAGTTCAATCCCCAGTACAAAACAAACAACAATTCTGACACAGCTACAGCATGAGCCAACCTAGAGGACATTACACTAAGTGAACTTAGAAAGGCAGTTTCTTTACTTTCTCTTTCTTTTGAAAACAGGAAGGGCTGGCCAGATAGCTCAGCAGATTAAAGTGCCTGCATAGGCAGACACAGGACTGCCCCGGGTTCAATCCCGAGTGTGGTGCAGGCCCCGCCCCCAGGGCGCACTGAGACAGCACCTGAGACTGGGCGTGGTGGCTGCACCTATAATCCCAGTGCTTGGGAGGCTGAAAACAGGAGGATCACTACAAGTCTGATCTATGTGGTGAGACCCTGTGGACCCCGTACTCAATACATTAAATAAATAAATAAGAAAACAGGATCTTCCCGCGCTGCCCAGTATGGCTCTGGGGCCAAGCGAGCTTACTGCCACAACGCCCTCTGCAGCAGGGACTTTGCTCGGTACCGGTGCGACTCTGCCTGGGGGTCTGATACATTCTCAGTATTTTGAAATGTACTTCTGTTCACAAATTGACCATACACTGCGAGAGGATGCCAGTGATGCCAGGGACAAGCTGCTCAGCCAGATGGACAGGGAGGGGCACCAGAGGTGGCTCCAGAGTCCCTGGGATGGGGGAACCGCTAAGAATGGGTGAGCGAGGACCAGGGCTCCTCACAGGAGCCCTTCTATCAGCTGGCTCTGACAGAAGCTGCCCAGGTAGCTCCACTCTAAGGTCACAACATGCGGGAAGCCACATTCTGTAAAA